AGACTTTTGACATGCTGCACCCCATCAAAGCTTACTTCCCTTCTTCGTCCTCTTCACTTTCCCCTTTTAGGGGAGTGGACGAGAAGAAGAAAGATGATCCGGATGGGATTAAGAAAATATTTGGTCAGGATTTACATTCTCATCAATTTGTTTTGGAAAAGGGCCATTGTGCTGGGAATGGTGGTGGTGGGGGGTTTGTTATCCCCAACGGCAGTGGGGTTGTTCCATTCTTTGTCAATACTACAATAGGAAGAAATGGTGTGACCAGCGGACTCCACGGTGCTCCTTGGCCTCCACCACCAGCATTCAGTAGTAATTTGAAGCCGGTGGCGGCTGTGGAGGAGATGATGATGATTGTGAACAGTGGTGGGGGTGGGCCTGCAAAGGCTGCAAGAGATGAATTCTTCAGGTTGAATAACAGTTATCAACAACCACAACAGCAACAGAAGCAAATAGACTTTTGTCGGGGAGCAACCTCAGCCAGGCCCACTATTATTACTACTACTTCTAATGTTGTTGAGTCTGAGAATAATAATTCGGATATTGAGGTTTCGTGCAAGGAGGAAGACAACCTACAGCAGCAACAGACAGGCCTGGGCCAACTACTTGATGACAAGAGACCACGGAAAAGAGGGAGGAAACCTGCGAATGGGAGGGAAGAGCCACTGAATCACGTGGAGGCAGAGAGACAAAGGAGGGAAAAGCTGAACCAGCGTTTCTATGCACTCAGAGCGGTGGTTCCTAACATTTCCAAGATGGACAAAGCGTCTCTACTTGGCGACGCCATCGCTTACATCACCGAACTGCAAAAGAAACTCAAGGATTTGGAACTTGAGAGAGAGGAGGGACTACTTCTGCTTGGACAAGGCAGTTCTTCGTCGAGAGAGACCACTCCGAATTTGGATATGATGATTCAGAACAGCATGAACGTTGAAGCAGCCGTGGGGAACAATGAAGTGGTTGTGAAGGTGAGCTGCCCTTTGGAAGCTCACCCACTCTCCAGAATCATTCGGGCCTTCAAAGATGCCGAGATCAGAGTTGTGGAATCCAGTGTTGCCGCCGTGGCCGATACCGTGTTTCACACTTTCGTTGTGAAGTCCTGCGGGTCCGAGCCGCTGACGAAGGACAAGTTGGTTGCTGCCTTTTCTTCAGAATCATCGTCTGTTGGTGGAGGGTTATAACAATAAATATTTTTTATTTTTATCTCATCAGTTCACTTAGTTCTTTTCGTCCCCCGTGTTTAGGCTAAGAGTTGTAGTAAAGAGTGTTGTTTCATGTGGTCCTTTTTATGCAGAGGTTTTGATTATACACCCCCTAGTTCAAGGCTTCAAGCCAAGCTAAAAATAGATAAGATATTGACAAACATCAATGCAGCAAATTTTATGCACTTTTGATAAGCAATACAATCATGAATCATCAATATGTGTTCTCTTATGGTATGGTTTGAAAATGATATTTTCTGTGAGAATTGTGAATGTTGCTTTGGTTCACCATGGTGCACTTTTGCGTTTTCAGTAATACACTATCTGCATTTGCAGATGACTTTAGTCTATTTATGAAACAACTTTCTTTGATTGCAGATAAATTTGGTTTGCTTATGAAACAGCTTTCTTAGTTCACTTATAAGACAATAATATCTTCTAAATAAATAAAAGGTGCTTCTAATGTGAACAATGCAGAAAAACACAGTAACAAATTTGTAAACAAGTGCAATTTCTGCCACCACTGTCAATTAAAGTCTATTTCTTGATGCTAAAAGTGTAACCGTAAAATTTTCTTTGAAGTTATTTCTTGACAGTTTTCCTGATGCTAAAAGTGTAACCGTAAAGTCTGTGAACAAGTGCAATTTCTGCCACCACGTGCGTTACAAAATGTGCAATATTTTTCATTGCGCAATTTTTAAGTTAGGCTTTTTACAACCATGCTATAGGTTAGTCATGGACCCGGTTCGGGCCACCCGACCCGGCCCGCTACTGTGCGGGCCCGGAACCGGCCCGGTTCTCGGGTCCGGGTCCGGGTCCGGGTCGGGCCAAGGCCCGGTAGGGGGCGGGTCCGGGCTTGGGCCTTGTATTTGGCGAACCGGCCCGGCCGGGTCGGGCCCGGGTCCGGGCCGGATTGATTTTTTTTTTTTTTTTTTTTTTTTTTTTTTTTTTTTCATTTTTTGGGGTTACCCGGGTTGGGCTTGATGGTAAGGAGGGGTTTGGGGGTGAGGGGGGGGGGGGGGGGTTAGGAAAGCAAAAAAAAAAAAATATGACCAAACCAGAGGCCCGGCCCGGACCCGGACCGGACCCGCTGGTTACCCGGGCCGGTCCCGGGCCTTCCTTCCCAAAAAAAAAAGCCCGGCCGGGCCCAGCCTGGAACCGGCCCGGCCCGGGTCCATGACTACTATAGGTACCCCAACCTATTTTTGTGGCTTACAAAAGCCCACCTCAATAAATGAATTGCCTCACTTTAATGAGGTTCTTTTGTGAGCTACAAAAATAGGGTGGGCTACAAATTGGGGTAACAATTGGGGTACCCTTACCATTTTTAGGCTTTTTAATATTTGAACTGCTCCATATTGTACCAAAGCTTTTTTCAGCGGAGTTTCCTTTGAGGTTTTACATTAGTACATTTGTTCTTAATATCAACACACGACTTGAGTCATTTAGTGTATTTAACTTATTATATACGGAGTATTTAGTAAAAATTCTAAAAAATCATGATATCTTTGAAGTTTTATATGAGGAAATGTTTAAAAATAATTTTCCCAAACTTTTTAATACTCACTCTGTTCCACTGGACATCGCCAGTAAAGATTTACATGTGTGGCTAATAAAGATAAAGTTAATTACTCAATGCTTTTTTTATAATTATTACGAAGTATTAGCATTAAACATTTAGATATTGAGATTTCAGAACCCGCATAAAGATCTGTGGAATAAAAAAACTAAAGATTTATTCAGAACCCAAATGTCATAAAAAATTGATGTCTAGAATCAAATAACCTCGTTGTTTTATAAAATTTTATCATCTTTCTTTATTTGATTATTGTTGGATTTCTTTTTATCACTTCCATTTAGAGTAATATATGTGGCTAAAGTTATTTACCATTCCTCTATACAAATCATAAATATACATTTTCATTTTCTTGTTTCATGTATAAATCATATTCCTCTATAAGTCAATTTTGATCATATTTTATGTGACGGGGAGGTAATAAATGATGATTATCTTGACGAGAATATTAAATGAGTGTTTGTGTTTACTTGTACTTTTAATGAGTGATTAATGTTAGAGATTATATGAAAAATGGCTAATGATAGATGTTGACATTATTTGAAAAATATTTTCGAAAAGCAAAAGTAAAAGTTTGAAAAAAAGAACAACTTTATAATAGAAAACAATAAGAAACGTGAAACAAGAGTTCAAATAAAACTTCATTCTATATGCTTCCGCTTTTCAGCTTTTAATTTTAAAATATAAAATTGAAGTAGAAACACTAATTTAAACCTTTATTCTTAATACTTTTAATGATAAAAGCTTTTAAACGCTTTTTAATTAAAGTAATGGAAACACTCCTTAAAGTTCAACAGCTAGGAATGATGAGGTTTTTATTATGAAACAAAAATGCACAAAGATAAAGCAACATGGAAAAGAAGAAACGAAGAGGCGTGCACGGGAATCATGCATGGTTTGAATTAATGAATCAAATCACATGTTATTCACTGTCGGTCATGTTGTTGGAGCACGGACCAGGACGAAACGTGCTGTCCGTGCTAATTACTACTATTACGCGTCTTCCGACTCATCTAATTTATCTTATTAGCTTGGTTAAAGTGAACAATAAATCAAATTCCCCTTAAATTTGGATTTTATTTAGCAAATTTAGTTTTTTCCTGCATTTCAGTATTTTTAATATTTTCGCTCAGAATAATCGTTTTAATTAGATCTTAACTTTTATTATCATACATTTTTGTCAATTTGTTTGTGAATAATTACGACTTAAATTAAATGTCAAACAATTTGATCTGAAAATAAAAAACGGAATTTATAATTTTTTTATTGTACTTCGAACTTATTTTTGAAAAAAATTGAAAGATGTAAGAACTAAGAAACCATTTTACCTATGATGATATCTTAATATTAACATTTAGATCTACTCAATAAAAAAAACCTAAAAACCTTAAATGTTGAAAATTTAATTTCAGCTAAACAAGAGACAAAGTAATACAATAACTCAATGCTAGGCTGGGGTGAGATAAATTCGCTAACCCCGCATCATGGTAGACTATATAACAGCATCGCTGAACTTGCTACTAAAATGGGAGATAACTAAACAAGAATTCTTTAAATAAAAACACCTACAGGAAGAGAGAAGAGGTTTGTTCATTCACTTCCAAAGGAAGCATTCCGATTTAATTTTACCAGCAACCGGGTAAACTTTTTTCATTTTTTTGTAGCCCAGGAACCCCGCCCCCTCCCCACCTAGGGCAGCCCCTGTTTTGATTGTGACTATTTGTTGGATAATCGATACCCATATCCTATAACTAAGGAGAGATTGAACAAGAGTGGATAAGAAATGATGAAAGTGTATAGAATGAATTAATATTGGTTGTGGTTTACAAGCCTCCCATAAGGAGTATATATAGGGAAAATCCGGGTCTGGGCCTCTAATATGGGCCTGACAGACCCGGTTACATAAATGGACTGATAGTATAAAAAGCTAATCTAGAACATCTTAATAATAATAATGTACAATAATATGAATCCGCTAAACGTGTGTGGGCCGCTGTCCAGGCCCAGTAGTCAGCAGACCGGGGGATTGGAGTCCATATACTCCATCAGGAGTCCCCCACTCCCTGAGTCGAGAGTACTTGAGGCGAAAGGGAGTAGTCCAAACTGTAGCTGCAACGTTCTTCTGTCTTTGGTTTCTTCCTCTTCGGCCGGGGGACCACCACCCCTGTCAATGATGGGGAGGTGCCTCGCTAAAAACCTTTACTAGGAAAAAACCCAGTGGGAAAAAATCCTAATAAAGGGAAAAAGAGTACACCTAGCGCCCCCAACAAAAAACAAGGAAGGTAAGTCCCCTCCGGCATAATCAATCTAGCTTAACTCATCTTCAATCGACTCAGCTCTTGTTCCTGCTAATGTGTGATATTTTCTGCTCTTCTAGAAACTATGACCCCTCAATCCCCCAATCCCCACTCTTTGAGGCGAGTGGAGACAAGGTGAAAATGAGTAAAGTCATCTCTGTAGCTACACATTTATCATACATATAAAATCTTTTTCTTGGGATTTATGTTTCCTATCGGGAGTTCGTTATTCGAAACAAGTGGAGATGTGAATTGTTAATGTAATGATTAAATACTTAGTAGAATGGATGTGTGAGCCATTCGTAAGCAACGGTCGCCACTCGAGGAATGACTAAGACCGGTCTTCGTGCCCGACTTGGTCGGGGCTTTGTGCCTGAGGAGTCAGGGCTTTAAATCCTAGTGATGGGTCTCAAGCCGCACTCTACTAGGCATTTGATCATAAGTGCGTGCTAGTGTGACATTAATCCGACAAAAAATATTGATTAAAATAAATATAAATAACATTAAAAATTAAAGATACTTATCTTTTTGAAGTGGGCTAAAATATTGGACTGTGTAGGCTGATAAAGAAATTGGGCCTTTATTCCCAATTGGGCTGCTCCAGCAGATTTGGACCATCCTCCACTGCGTCAAATTTGAATTTTGAACAGATCAGCCTCCCCTAGCACAATATATGCCCATACTGACAGGTTTGACAACTTTCATTTTTGGCAAAGGGAACAGCCACAACGTGACCAGCACCCCAACCAGTACATTTGTAGTGTAGCTCGTCCAGGTACATCTGTACTGTAGCTCGTCCAGGGGACCTGCGATACATTCCTCAAGACCAGTGAGCAGGGCAATTCCGATTTGCTGCTCCTGGAGCTCCTGGCGAATACTCGAGGCCAAAGCTCCTGTAGCTGGGCCAAACGACCATGGAGATGGCACTAGCGGCCCCGGCTCCGACTTTCGAGCTGCTGTGGAGATGAGTGGTGTGTCGGAGGTCGCACATCGATTTCAATATCACCGTGGACAGTTGGGTGGGCACAGATCTGGACGGGAACGGCCAGTCCGTATCCCTCGCTAGGCCTGGAGCGGCGGCGACACTGGTCTCGGAATGGAGATGACGAGGCCTGGCTGGTACTTGGTGTCAAACCCCGGCTGGTGCACCGGCGTATGGCAGACGGCATATGGCGGTGGTGTTGACGGTGGACAATGACCTGGTGTTGATGGGCGCAGATCTTAGATGTCCATATTTTCTTCTTGTGGTTGACATTTCCGGATCTAGGAGTTGCAGATCCCAACCTGAAACTATAACAGGTGGCTCGTGGTGGCCTGCCGCCGGCAGGGGTGCTAGACCAGAAGTTAGCCCGCATGACCTGGGACGCCACTGCGGGGCGTTGGTTCTCCGGCCTTGTCTGCGAAATCCTAGATTTCTGATTTTGTTATTGCTGTATCTTTTTATTTTATTTTTCCAGAACAGTTTCTTACAGTTTGAGCTACATTTGGTCGGACCGTGACGGGAAGCGAATTGCGTGAAAGTGGAGCGAGCTTTCATTAGCCGCCGCCGGCAAGCAACTAGCGGTGGTGCTGCGACTCAGGCGAGGAGCTCCATGGATCCGAACAGGCATCACGACTTGGTACCTTCCCTGTGGGGCCGGTGCTGCCCGGAGCTGAAGCCGGGGATTGGTGGGTCTAGTGGCGCGGCGACGGAGGTGGAGCAGCCAGCTACGACAAGCAACGCCAAGGTGCAGCAAGACTGTCTGAGAAACAGTTCAACAGATTGGAAAAAATTGAAATTCTAATTTTTCTTTTCTAGAACAGTTTTGGGTAGAATTTTTGTGATTTTGGTAGAGTTTTTGGTTAAGCGGGGAGGGTTTGTCACTTGATTGTGTTCAAACCTCTCAACGAGAGCACCATATGATGGACAGTCTACCCGGGGGGTGTCTTATCTGAGGGGTTATTACAGAATAGCCTAGAGAGAAGTCAGAGCAAGCAAGTAGGAGAGACAGGAGATTATTATTTATGAACTCGAGATGTTCTGATGTGGATCTGATCATTTACAAGGAGAAATAGACTGCTATTTATAGCAGCAATAAATGCGATGAGAGTACACGTGTCAATAATCCAACAGCCGAGGGGTCACATCAATCAGGGTGGCACCGGCAGTGGCATGTTCACCGCATTGAATGCGGTGGGTGGATGTGACGTCGCATTAAATGCGGTGGTTGGCTGTCTCAAAAGGGAATCTTCGATGATTGAGTCCGTTTAGCCGAAGACTCCTCTCGTGGCCGAGGGCCCCGTGTGGCCGAAGGCTCTGTGTAGCCGAGGGCTTGGTTCAGCCGAAGGCTTTCTATGATGCCGAGGGCTCCACAAGCCGAAGGCTCTCGTTTTCTGCCGTTTTCTCCCAGTAGCTTCGCATGCCCAAAAAGGCTATTCTGTGAGTTTTGGGGCCTTCGGTCAAGGTGGCCGAAGGCACCCCAGTGTGTGTCTTGGACTTCCTTGAACTTGGGCCACTGTATTTGGGCCTCGGATGCTCCTTGGGCTTGCTGGGCCTGTGATAGGTTAGTAGGAGTCTGTGGGCCGGCGGTTTCTGGGCCATATACTCCATCACTATTACAAATGGAGTAGATCTACTTAAGATTTTCTATTTAATACTCTCATTGTCTCACAATATTTGATCAAATTAGTTTATTTTAATAAATAATAAATTTTAAAAAATGATTTTAGCTACGGAGTATTATGCTTGTATGAATATATTTAACAAATAACATTCTCATAGTTTTTTTATTTTTTAAAATAATTTCTTATTAAAAACTATCATCAGTCAAGTTTGACCATTATTGACCAAGAAAAGCCATGTAGGATTTTTTGTTCTACCGTTTCTCTCTAAGTGTGCGGTTGTGTTGCTTTGAGTTGATTGCTATATTTGATCTTGATTTCAGTAGGGTAGTTTAGTGTATTTTATGGTTCTTTGATTCATGTATGGTGTCAAGATCTTTTGTAGCTCCAGAAATAACTTGTTCTCCTTGGTTCAAATTTTCTAGTCGACTTGGGATTCATTTTTTACGAGGGCATCATTTTCTGCATGTTCTTTCAGCAAGGGCGGAGATTCAGAAGGAAAGCTGCCGCGACAAAGACCCAGTGATGGCTAGGGTGTTTTATCATCGCCAATCTCCTCATGCAGTGCTTTTGTTGTGGTTCGTCCGCAACAACAAACAGGTAGATAGAGAGAGGAGTATGAGTGGATGGAAGATTAGTACAAAGGGCCCGATCGAGGGTGCGGAGGAAGGTTGGGGTTTTGTTGGATAAGGTAGGAAAGAAAATGGTGATGACATATGTTTTCAATTTTCAATGTCTCGCGCTCCTCTTGAACTACTTTCAAAAGAGAATGATAATGAGTGTAATACCAAAAGAGATTATGGTTTGTAAGGAATAAAAGGAGAACAATTATGCAGCAACTCACACTCCTCTTGAACTACTTCCGTTGCATAATGAGAATTGTGGAGAAGCACTAATTAGTATCTTAAACTTTAAGATTTTATGTCACCATTATATTTTCTTTAGTAGTTTTTTTTTTTTTTTTAGTTTGACTAGGTATGTTTTCTTTGCTTTTGGGGTCTTTTGTGGGAGGAATCTGGATAATTTTCTTGGTGGAAGTTATTTGAAAACATTGGAATGGTGAATTAGGTGATATTTGTACTAACTTGATTGATATATGCTTATGTTTGCCCGCTTGGTAGTTAGCGAGTGAGTATGCTTTTTATGCGTGTGTGACTCTGTCTAATCGTAAGGCCTGTGATCCAGTCTATAATAGGTGTTTGAATACATGTTCTCATTTTCTTAAATTTTTAATATAATCCATTTATCATAAAATATATAGCATGAGTGAGTTCGTGAAATCGAAGGCTGAATATCAAACTGTTAAAAGTTGAACTGCAAAATACTTGAATTAAACTGAATCATTCTTTTTCGATTTCAATCGCGAACCTTACAAACGAAACATAAGTGCTTAACATTTATATTTAATACTCCCTTTATTTCAAAATACTTCAGCAAATTGAATTTTCTTAATTAGTAATAATAAATTTTGAACATCGATTTTAGCTATTATACTTGTGTGAATTTAATAACTTTCATACTCTTATGAAAATGTGTTTAACAAAAAACATTCACATAGAATTTTCTTGTTTTCAATAATTTCTTAATAAAAAATAGCATCGGTCAATTTGACCATCATTTGCCTAGAAAAGTCCTTATGACCTAGTCTTATGAGACACATTGATGGGTCCCAAGTGAGGTAAAAGTCTGGGGGGAGGGGTGAATAGACTTTTAAATCTTTTCATTTTTCAGCCCTTTTTCCTCTGAGAGAATGAGTTCCAATATCTTTTGGGAGATATTGAAACATGCAGCGGAAGTCTTGACCTCAAGAGTATGACACTTTATAGAAACAAAGGTTATGACCTTTTTGGTTGTGAGAGAGATGAGTTAAACAGGATGCAAATGTTCTTGCCAAGATCAACTGGCTCAAGAAGTAGGCTGTTGAATCCTTAAGGATCAGACTGCCAAATTTCTGGGAGCTGGTTACTAAACCCCTCAGGAGTAGGCTGCTGATTTTGCTGCTTTATTAATGTTTGAGGCATAGAGAAGAACTATGACCTTGAACATTGTTTGTTTGTTTAGGATAGACAAAACACATAGATATGTAGAATTAGACCTATTGAAATATATCACTTTGATGAGCAGAAACAAGGAGTTGATTCACAGTGACCTGGGAGGTTCACTGGACAGTTTTAAGTGAGCAAGCTGTTTTGTTGTGAAGGTGAGTGAGTACTGAAGTGTATGTTAGGAGCAGAATGTAAAAGGGGACACAAGATGTATCCTGATTCAGAGGTGGTGTAATCATCCTACATCAGGGGTGTGCACAAACCGGTTCAAACCGGAAAACCGGACCGGACCGGACTGAAGAAACCGGAACCGAACCGACCCGGATGATATCCGGTCCGGTTTTCGGTTTTCAAATATTGTAAAACCGGTTTCCGGTTAAAAACCGCATCGTTCCGGTTTGAACCAGATTAAACCGGTTTGCTTTAATTTTTTAATATATATTAATTAATAGTCTTAATATAAAATGGTTATAGAATAATAAAATTAATGATAGTTATAAAAACATAAATAGTAATCTTTTCAATATGTAGCATATATTTTCGTAATGTTTATTAATTTATATATTATTAATTTTTTGATAATAGAATTAACTAATATTTACTATTCTATCCTAAAATTACTTCAATCTTTGCTCTATAAGACTAATAAAGTAAATAAATAAACACTAGTAGTAATAGTAATATTATTAGTAACAAATATCCCATTTTTATTAAACCAATTATTTGTATTTTTTAGTATATTAAATTAATAATTTAGAAACCGGTTCTTCCGGTCCGGTTCCGGTTTTAAACCGGTAAAACCGGTCCGGTTCCGGATCAAAATCGGAATATATCCGGTCCGTTTTTCGGTTTCCATTTTCTTACAAATCCGGTTCCGGTTCCGGTCCGGTTCGGTCCGGTTTTCAACCGGTGCACACCCCTAGTCCTAACCTATTTCAGATAGATTTCCACTAAATGAATATCCCATTACATTTAGTGCCCAATTTACCCTTGGCACATGCGTAGATTGTGAGGTTTTTCACAAGGAATTTCAACAACATTCCAAGCTTCTCAGTCCTCCCAAGGGTTTTCACTAATGTCATTGACTTGCCAAGAGTTACTCATGTCCTTGTCCTTTCTCACCTTCTTGATCTGAACACAAAGCCCTCCAGAATGTCTAACACTAGTCTAGTTTACATGGGTGTAAATCTAAACTACCAACTAAGCTCTATAGGTTTGTATGAATTGTAGCTAATCTAAGAGCATTAGATGAGTGGGGTGGTAGCCGAAGTAGTGAAGGAGAATCAGCTGGCTGGATGTGAGCATGTAAAACTTGATTCCCTTCTATTCCACTTGGCTCCTCTCAGTTTACCACACTTGGTCTTCCCACACTCCTTCTGTATTTATAGACTGATCACTGAGTCTCCACCGTTGACTGAGGAAATCAATCTTGACCGTTGCTTGATCTACTTGCTTTGTTCCACTTGACTGAGGAGAGCATGGTTGATCTTTGTCTTCTTGTGACACGGATCAATATCTTCACTTCAACTTGTTTCTTCATTTCAATACATAGATAAAGATGAATTATCTTTATTTCTTTTGTGCGTAGAAACTTAGTATAAAAGATGAGTGATGTTTCAATGCTTCCTTACAAATAACAAATACTTGCTTTTAGTAAAATAAATTCATAAGAAATTTATAATGTGATAAAAATCTCTTATGAATTTACTTTCAATCAATTTGTTATTTTGACTGCAAGTTGGTCTCTTGTTTTAATTGTTTTTGTGCTAAGAGAAGAGTGAGTTTGATTTCTGATGCCTTAATTGAGAAAACAATGATTTCAGCTGGCTGCCAGAAAATCAGTAGGCTGCTGAAATTTTGTTTTTTCAGTTGACTTCCTTTTCAATGAATACGAGTTAACTCTTTTTCGTACCTTTTCTATTTTATTCTTTTCTTTTTGTTTTATGATGCATTTCTTCTCTTTTAGTACTCTTTGCTTTTTATGAGTACTTAATCACTAATGAATAATGATAGCACATTACAGTAAACGGAATGGAACAAGTACAAGAGAATCTAGTCTAATACAGGGATAACAAAAAGGGGTGACATCATCAAAACAATACATATTAATCATCAAAATCTAGGGGACCTAACAATTTCTCCCTTTTTGATGATGCCAAAAACTAGAATCAAAACAATTTTAAAGAAGCAAAAGCAACATTAAAAGTCCTAGTGTTTGATTCTATTCCCCTCCCTTTGGCAGCAACAAACACCTACTCCGGGTTCCTTTTGCTACCATGATGTTGT